GATTGTGGTTTTTTTTCAAGCCCGTAACACAAACCTGCAGAGTGTCGGGTACATGAAGTTCGGTCAATTGTTCTAACATTTGTATCGGTAAATCGTTCACAATCAGGAAGGATGACCTTTTTCGCCATTTCTCTCATTGTATTGCCGAGCTTATAATTTTCACAGTGGCAAAAAAAAATAACCGTTATCGTTAACATTGTGATTTTATAACCATTTTGGCATTTGTAGACAAATCGTTTAAGTTTTGCTGCATAAAAAGAGTACAGGACAACGGGGTATCTCTCGGGAGTTTGATGGGATAGCTTAACCAATTATTTAATTTTCTAATCTTGGCTGAATATTGTGAGCTTGTTTACATGACGATGACAAATGATAAATCAATGTAAACGAGAAGATAATGTTATAATTGTTATCTCCCCTGAACGCAGATTTCTCCACCCAGGTGAAAACCTAAATGAAGTAGAAGTTTCTCTGCAGCTTCTGTCAAACATCTGATGATTGCACTTCGAGCTCTTCCTGTGATCCCTGGTGTCTGCAGAATCCTCCATAAGTATTGGGCGGAGAAACCTCTGCAGCCCACCTCCACTGGGAATTGCCATCCAAAGATAGAAATAAGAACGAAATGTGACCTTTGACCTTTAATGACTGGTAAAAGCTTTTGGGATATATTTCTTACAGTTTGCTGACCCTGTTTCACTTTTACGTCAAAATTTACTATTTCCTTATTTTCATTATTTTGGTTTTCATCATTTTTGTTACAGTACCGTAGTGGTAAGGAACGTCATGTACTAGCCGAGGAAAACTCTAGGCCTCTTCCTAACTGACCTTTGAATCATCTGTTGACAACTGTCAGAACTGTCGCCATGGGGGCTTGTAGCGGGTGTGGTCAGATTATTCTGGTTATCGTCAACCTGATATTTTCGGTAAGGTCTTTGTTGTTTTTTTTTCTGTTCGATATGCATAAGACGTTTAAATTCACCACGATACGCAGCATGGTCGGTTGGCACATTGCACACACTACGTCAGAGCGATCTTGGTTCGATTCCCTGATCAGAAATACATTGCAGATTTACCCTCCTGTCCACTTTAATCGATTTACAATAGTTTAACATACATTGGATCTAATACTGGATTTTATCACGACTCTATTTTTCCAAAAGGTTAGATGCTAAAATTTGATAACGCATAACAGCACTTTTAACGAGCAATGTCAGCACTGAAATGTCCTATACACATGTACTCCTTTTGGTAATTATGAAAAAAAAAAACTGAAATACCAAGTCTATATACGACGATTGTGACTCTAGTGTATCGTGTCTTTATTAAACTAGTGTTTTAAATTATTTACCAACGAATTACTTTCAGTTGGTGGGTATATTGCTCCTGTCCGTCGGCTGTATTGTGAAATGGGGCGGAGACATAATGGACGATGTATTAAGCGACTGGTACAGCAACTTCCGGAAGGCACTGGAGGAAGCAGGAGTAGATAACTCTAGTATTGCCAATTTCAACATCGAAGAATTTATGCAGGATACTGCCATAGCATTCATAGTGATTGGAATTTTCTTCTTTCTCTTGGGTATTATTGGCTGTCTTGGGGCGTGTTGCAAGGTCCGCTCACTGCTCATATGTGTAAGTAGCTATGAAGTAATGAGAAATTATATTAAACATGCTTCTGTGTATCTTAAACGCTGCGTTGTTTTGCTTTTTTGGCCATGTGTAAGATCCTCTGAAAAATTATGTGCATTGTAATTCAATCCACAAAACTCAGTTGATTTTTGTATTTGTTTTTTTTTTTGGTTTTTTTTTTTTTTGGGGGGGGGGGAGGGGGTGGGTTTATCTTATTACAGCAGAACCGCAGCTGACATTCAAGTGCAACCACACTGAAGTGTACCGCTGAAGGAGGTCACAGGTCACATCATATAATGGGTGAACCAGTCGTTACACTAACACAATACTGAAAATTAAGCCCATGAGTACCAACAACCACATCAGTCTCTACGAAAGGACAAAATCAATTTCTTAAGTGATGTGTTCATCTATATCTCGACCAATCATCATGTAGTGTTTTAGTGATGGTCATTAGTTGTTGGGTTCGGTTGTTTGATTGTAGCACTGTTGTTGTTGTTTATTACAGTACTCTGTTGTCGTGGTGTTGGTGATTATTGTGGAGCTTACATTCGTCATTCTGCTGTTCGCGATTCGGGATGAGGTAAGAGGTACTTTAATAGCGTGTAAGACAATGAAAAGAAATAAGCAATCTTGATATGCAAATAAGTCCATACACAAACAGATAAGTCCATACACCATCAAATAAGTCCATACACAAACAGATAAGTCCATACACCATCAAATAAGTCCATACACAAACAGATAAGTCCATACACCATCAAATAAGTCCATACACAAACAGATAAGTCCATACACAAACAGATAAGTCCATACACAAACAGATAAGTCCATACACAAACAGATAAGTCCATACACAAATAAATAAGTCCATACACAAACAGATAAGTCCATACACCATCAAATAAGTCCATACACAAACAGATAAGTCCATACACCATCAAATAAGTCCATACACAAACAGATAAGTCCATACACCATCAAATAAGTCCATACACAAACAGATAAGTCCATACACCATCAAATAAGTCCATACACAAACAGATAAGTCCATACACCATCAAATAAGTCCATACACAAACAGATAAGTCCATACACAAACAGATAAGTCCATACACAAACAGATAAGTCCATAGTCCATACACAAACAGATAAGTCCATACACCATCAAATAAGTCCATACACAAACAGATAAGTCCATACACCATCAAATAAGTCCATACACAAACAGATAAGTCCATACACCATCAAATAAGTCCATACACAAACAGATAAGTCCATACACCATCAAATAAGTCCATACACAAACAGATAAGTCCATACACAAACAGATAAGTCCATACACAAACAGATAAGTCCATACACCATCAAATAAGTCCATACACAAACAAATAAGTCCATACACAAACAAATAAGTCCATACACAAACAGATAAGTCCATACACAAACAGATAAGTCCATACACAAATAAATAAGTCCATACACAAACAGATAAGTCCATACACCATCAAATAAGTCCATACACAAACAGATAAGTCCATACACCATCAAATAAGTCCATACACAAACAGATAAGTCCATACACCATCAAATAAGTCCATACACAAACAGATAAGTCCATACACCATCAAATAAGTCCATACACAAACAGATAAGTCCATACACAAACAGATAAGTCCATACACCATCAAATAAGTCCATACACAAACAAATAAGTCCATACACAAACAGATAAGTCCATACACCATCAAATAAGTCCATACACAAACAGATAAGTCCATACACAAACAGATAAGTCCATACACCATCAAATAAGTCCATACACAAACAGATAAGTCCATACACCATCAAATAAGTCCATACACAAACAAATAAGTCCATACACAAACAGATAAGTCCATACACAAACAGATAAGTCCATACACAAACAGATAAGTCCATACACAAATAAATAAGTCCATACACAAACAGATAAGTCCATACACCATCAAATAAGTCCATACACAAACAGATAAGTCCATACACCATCAAATAAGTCCATACACAAACAGATAAGTCCATACACCATCAAATAAGACCATACACAAACAGATAAGTCCATACACAAACAGATAAGTCCATACACAAACAGATAAGTCCATACACAAACAGATAAGTCCATACACAAACAGATAAGTCCATACACAAATAAATAAGTCCATACACAAACAGATAAGTCCATACACCATCAAATAAGTCCATACACAAACAGATAAGTCCATACACAAACAGATAAGTCCATACACCATCAAATAAGTCCATACACAAACAAATAAGTCCATACACAAACAAATAAGTCCATACACAAACAGATAAGTCCATACACAAACAGATAAGTCCATACACAAACAGATAAGTCCATACACAAAAAAATAAGTCCATACACAAACAGATAAGTCCATACACAATCAAATAAGTCCATACACAAACAGATAAGTCCATACACCATCAAATAAGTCCATACACAAACAGATAAGTCCATACACCATCAAATAAGTCCATACACAAACAGATAAGTCCATACACCATCAAATAAGTCCATACACAAACAGATAAGTCCATACACCATCAAATAAGTCCATACACAAACAAATAAGTCCATACACAAACAGATAAGTCCATACACCATCAAATAAGTCCATACACAAACAGATAAGTCCATACACAAACAAATAAGTCCATACACCATCAAATAAGTCCATACACAAACAGATAAGTCCATACACCATCAAATAAGTCCATACACAAACAAATAAGTCCATACACAAACAGATAAGTCCATACACAAACAGATAAGTCCATACACAAACAGATAAGTCCATACACAAACAGATAAGTCCATACACAAACAGATAAGTCCATACACAAATAAATAAGTCCATACACAAACAGATAAGTCCATACACCATCAAATAAGTCCATACACAAACAGATAAGTCCATACACCATCAAATAAGTCCATACACAAACAGATAAGTCCATACACCATCAAATAAGTCCATACACAAACAGATAAGTCCATACACAAACAGATAAGTCCATACACAAACAGATAAGTCCATACACAAACAGATAAGTCCATACACAAACAGATAAGTCCATACACCATCAAATAAGTCCATACACAAACAGATAAGTCCATACACCATCAAATAAGTCCATACACAAACAGATAAGTCCATACACCATCAAATAAGTCCATACACAAACAGATAAGTCCATACACAAACACATCAGCCCTTACAAAGGCATTTTGTCAATATAATGTAAATATAAACAAGTTGTCAGGAGGCACTTCTTCCAAAGGTGTGATAATGTTAATACCGAATATATCTTTAAACGCAAACCTTTCAAAACTGTCATGTTTATAAACACAGAAAGTATGGAAAAATACGTTTCCTTCGCATTGTATTGTATATAGATAAACCAGAAACACGAAGGGGATTTTCTACATACACCTTTGGGATAAACAACTAACATTTGATTTAGCGGTTATACAAACTATTTAACACTATATCTCCAAACATTCAGCGACACTGATGCCTTTATGTAAGTACTTGTATCGATATCTTCACGGAGATGTTTGCCACAATTCCACACTACTAAATAATTATACATAATGTACGTTTGAACCTGAACTCGTTGACTTTGCCACATGATGTTTTGCCACAGGAAAAACAATTCTATAAATTACCTAATTTGTTTTTATTTTTTTGAACACAGGTAGATAAATGGCTCAAGAAGCCATTGGAAGAAGCTATCGCGGATGATTACACTGGCACAAATGGAACAGACGCCGTCACTCTCGGACTAAACTTCATAATGTCGGAGGTTTGCTACATTTCATATCATTGCTTTGACGGTGAAGGCAACAATATATGCATGATGCTGAAGAGAAATATTAGTAATCCTGGGTCACTTTCCCGAGGGGGGAGGAGGTGGGGCTGATCGCCTTCTGTCGGAGGGATGGGGGGGGGGGGGGGGGGGGTCCGGGGGGGGGGGGGGGGGGGGAGGGGGGGTATCACCTTCTTAGTCTTGGTGGAAACTGGAGTGCGAGCAGAAAATCTTCATGGTCAGGCACGTGACGAAATACCTTGTTACAGCTAATCTGTCGGGAGGGATCGCCTTCTGTCGTCATTTTCATAATTTTGCGAATGAGTAAAAGATTGACATGCAAATTATTGCGGACATCAGAGGTTTTTCCAACTGTACTTTTGTTCTTATTTTCCATGAATCTGTTAGTTTTACTATGAAATATGGGAAAACCTAATCATTTACCAAAATTGTTTCCCGGCACAATGGTTTGGTTTTCTTTTGTTCGTTTCACCAAGACTACAGTATTATGTGTCCCAGGACCCCAATATTGGGACATAATTAGGACATAATGGCATTTTATATACAAAAATACATAGATACTTATCACCGGATAGCTTGTATTAATAATAATAACAATGAACCGACACGGCTTGTATTTATCTAATACACGTATCTTTTAATTTTTTTTTAAGTTCGAATGTTGTGGAGTTGAAACCTACACCGAGTTCAATGCCACGGCGACAAAATGGCAGAAGCTGGTACCAAATCAAGTGATTCCTCTGATTTGTTGTCGGAACGCTACCAAAGACAACATCGACTGTCTAACCAGCCCGAATGGCAACAATTCATTCTCTGACAAGGTATGCCATTCTGTACGAGTAGTGACTTTGAATGTCAGTTTTACATAGTTAACATCTTATGTCAAAAGGTATTGGTATTTATAACATCGTGGTACGTAAATGATAAAAAAACGAGCTGATTAAATCTCGCTTCTGTAGATGTGATTTCATTCATGTATAAGAATGAAGACGATTATTATGAAGAATTATTACCTTATAACAAAAACGATGGAATATTAAAGTGCATTTAACAGCTTTAAAAAAATGTGTAAAGATTCATTATCAAGCGAAACGACTTAAGGATTAAGTGCTCAAAATGTAACAAACAGGACAAAATACTATACTTATCATTGCTTTTCATACAATGAAGCAGAAGACGTCCACACTTCCGAAACATATGGTCTCCTTTTCCAGAATCTAACGATTTACATCTTTCTCTTTTCAATTTTTCATTAGTTGTCTAGGATTGAATCAAAATCAATTTGTACTCTCAAAAAAGCATTCATAAACTTCAAAACCAACTAAATTCAAAGACAAGAAACATTCAACAAAGCAGTCTTATTCTCTTTGGAACTTTCCAAGCCTTAATGTAAATCTGTCTGTTGTTCAAATTTTACCTTGGGTTTATTGAATTGAGTTTGGATTATGATTGTGTTGACGTGTCGATATTTTGGGTTGCTTTAATTAACCGTTAGCCGTCATCCTGTTAACTAATAGTGTTTAACTTATAACCAAACAATAGTGTACGGTCTTAATCCGAATTTAAACCACTTGTCATACTGTTCCATACTTCTGCTGTCTCGCTAATGTCAAGGGTATTGTCTGCTTCCAAACTTTTTGCTGTCTATATAATAAATTTTCTGCGTATTGTCCCCATGTTCCAATATAATGTTCCAAACTTTTTGCTGTCTATATAATGTCTAGGATATTTTCTGCGTATGACATAAATGTCCCCATGTTCCAAACTTTTTGCTGTCTATATAATGTCTAGGATATTTTCTGCATATGACATAAATGTCCCCATGTTCCAAACTTTTTGCTGTCTATATAATGACAGAAATGTGACATTGCATTTAAACTAGAATCCTTACACTACAAGCTTTATTTATTTCTGATTCGTCAGATTTGTCAGTACATAGACAGTTCTTGTGGATATGTTGTACGTCTTATTGAGATATCATATTTTACAGCATAAGGGGAAATACCATTCCGGAATTTGATCGGTTTTGTTATTAGTTTGTACATAAATCCGGAAAAATTTACCGGGACTTGTTTTAAAATAATAATCCAGATTGAAGCTGAACAAAATGGAGACATCAGAACCTTGAAGATCGTGTCTTCCGTTTTATTTTATTGTCAGGATATAATTTTACATCTGAAGTACACTACACAGTACACAGCGTCATTCCATCCAGTATCGACAGGGAAAAAATTGGGATTTTCTTTGAATTTTTCATGTTGATGTGTTGCATTATAACCTGGTTACCAGGCCTGATAATTTGGCTTCAACATTTTTACATTGCCTCATAGTGACTTCGCTGAATTGACCAAAATATGTCAACAGTTACACTAATGTCTACCTGAACAAACTGGAAAGGCTAAGGGCCTTTCGAATTATACTTTTGTGCTGGTGAAAATATTTGTATCGTTAAAAACCCTTTCGTGTTATATGTGCGACGTATGTGTGCAGTCATTTGCACCAAGGGGAGGCAACTCGTCTATCTAATACAAAAACCTAGTTGGTAACACTCAGTCGACGAAAGATAACTCGCACACAATTTGATATTTCTTTAATTAAGATGGTTCTATGCTGGGATTCGAGTCAATTTTTTTTACCCGTTCGAGGTAACTACGACATCGAGTTAGTTTTTATTTCATGTAGATTCATGCTTTAATTGGGATCAGTTCATCCGTACGACGATATTCGATATCGTAAAACTGCCCGGATATATTGAAAAACCTTTCTTTGTTATTCCAGGGGTGTTATGAAGCCATTGAGGACTGGGTCAATGACAACGCTGACATTTTGATAGGATCTGGAGCCGGGATAGCTGCCGTGGAGGTAGATTTAGTTTACGGAAATAGACGTAGAATTTTGAATATATTTTCAGTTTCGAAAAAGAACTTCTTTTAGACACTTTATGTTATTATATGTTACACGATCTTACTCGAGTTTCAGTATGATATATGAATTTATTAAATGAATATTCAGAATTAGTATTTTGACAAGCTAAAACCTAAAAAAACAAAAAAAAAAACAAAAAAAAACAAAAAAAATCACATTTGAAATGAAAATGAATAAAAGACCCTTTCAGATAGATCTTTAGCAAATATGGGAGAAAATGGCATACATGAACGCCCGCTCTATATCGGAAATCTCCATCGCTATGTCACAACGCCATCTGTGAATGTGTGACGTCATTTGATTATCTAAACTGACGTCACAATAAGTTATATTACACATGAGTAATATGCATAATAATTGATTTATTCACTGGTAAAAAATTTGATAATGTAATAAAAGATTGATTTCGTGTAGGCTGGGGTATTTCAAGCATACTTAATATCAACTTTATTTTATTCCACAACAACATGCGAATACACAGCAAAGTATACAGAGGAATTAATTATTGTATACAACATAAACGTGATAGGTAAAGTTTTCAAAGACATATTTTTCTTCCCTTGATTCGCCTTTCTGAATACACTATATGCTATTTCTAATATGGTTTTGTTTTAATGCAGATTCTGTTGGTCCTGTTTGCCTGTATCGTGTGCGCAAAGAACAAATCAGAAAAGAGACGTGGTTATGAATCGTACTGATAAATCAACTGTGAGTTATTGACATTACCGTGGAGGTTTTACTATAACATCTCATCTGGACATGAGAGTTGTAGAAATTTGGAGAAATGCTGACTTGTTTACAAAGCGTTATTTATATAACATTATTCGCATGAAGACGACTTTTCATCACAAACTTCTAAATTTACATATATAGTTCAAGAACATTCATCAGAGATTTCGTCATCTACATACAGTTTTCATAAGAATTCTTCACAGATTTCTCAATCTGCATCAACTCTATCCTACATTCCATCACTAACGTCTATATCTACATAACCTACTGAGTTTACTACATTTCATAACACAAATTATGATGCACTAAAAATCTGTGAAATTAATTAAATACAATGTCACGTGATATAATTATCATATAATGATGCTACATTAGTAGTCTGTTATCTGTAAAATCTATGTATTCCTTACTTCTTTTAAATTTAATTGATTGTCATATATCTACACATATAATCTTACATTGCTGTGATGTTTGAAAACTTTGTAAAAGACATTTTAAAATTAAAGAACACTGTCATGTATTTTAGTTAGAAGAAAAGAGTTCAGTGGTATTTTTTAGTCTGATAAATCATTGATAATTAAAATTGATATTCTTTAACCAGCAAAATCTGAACGTATCACAGCACCACGGATTTCATTTGGTGCTAACCTTATTGTAAGTTATTTTCATCAAGTAATTTTATTTGTCATGTTTTCATTACTGTAATGTAATAAATAAATGGATAGCAGTTGGTGTGACTGTCATAACTACTGTATAACTGGTACATAACCAGCTGATCTGACTGAAATAACTACTGTATAACTGGTACACAACCAGCTGATCTGACTGTAATAACTACTGTATAACTGGTACACAACCAGCTGATCTGACTGTGATAACTACTGTATAACTGGTACATAACCAGTTGATGTGACTGTAATAACTACTGTATAACTGGTACATAACCAGTTGATCTGACTGTGATAACTACTGTATAACTGGTACATAACCAGTTGATGTGACTGTAATAACTACTGTATAACTGGTACATAACCAGTTGATGTGACTGTGATAACTACTGTAAACCTGGTACATAACCAGTTGATGTGACTGTGATAACTACTGTAAACCTGGTACATAACCAGCTGATCTGACTGTGATAACTACTGTAAACCTGGTACATAACCAGCTGATCTGACTGTGATAACTACTGTATGACTGGTACATAACCAGCTGATCTGACTGTGATAACTACTGTATTACTGGTACATAACCAGCTGATGTGACTGTGATAACTACTGTATAACTGGTACATAACCAGTTGATGTGACTTTGATAACTACTGTATAACTGGTACATAATAACCAGCTGATCTGACTGTAATAACTACTGTATAACTGGTACATAACCAGTTGATCTGACTGTGATAACTGCTGTATAACTGGTACATAATCAGTTGATGTGACTGTGATAACTACTGTATAACTGGTACATAACCAGTTGATGTGACTGTGATAACTACTGTATAACTGGTACATAACCAGTTGATCTGACTGTGATAACTGCTGTATAACTGGTACATAACCAGTTGATGTGACCGTGATAACTACTGTATGACTGGTACATAACCAGTTGATCTGACTGTGATAACTACTGTATAACTGGTACATAACCAGCTGATCTGACTGTGATAACTACTGTATAACTGGTACATAACCAGTTGATGTGACCAGTTGATGTGACCGTGATAACTACTGTATAACTGGTACATAACCAGTTGATGTGACTGTGATAACTACTGTATAACTGGTACATAACCAGCTGATCTGACTGTGATAACTACTGTATAACCAGTTGATCTGACTGTGATAACTACTGTATAACTGGTACATAACCAGCTGATCTGACTGTGATAACTACTGTATAACTGGTACATAACCAGTTGATCTGACTGTGATAACTACTGTATAACTGGTACATAACCAGCTGATCTGACTGTAATAACTACTGTATAACTGGTACATAACCAGCTGATCTGACTGTGATAACTACTGTATAACTGGTACATAACCAGCTGATCTGACTGTGATAACTACTGTATGTATGAATGTAGGTTAATATCGGAAACAATTGATTACTAGTCATGAATTTATCGTATGATAACATTATGCACAGCTGTTTAAAATCGGTGGTAAATCTACTATTGTAATAACTTGTACAAAACCAAGTAGACTAACATTAGTCTACATTACCAGGTGAACTAATGACTGTATAAAGGACACACAAGGTAACAACGATATTTTGGTCAAATATGGAACTAGACACATTATAACCCATTAACTTAATAATACCGATGTCTCGTCCTTTTCGGAGTCGTCAGTAAAATTAGCATTACTTGATGACTAGGTGTTCTATAGTATCGCGTGACTTATTGGGCAATTATGGACCAAGCCATATATAAACACCGAGACCATCACTCATATCCCTGACAATATCCAAAGAATATCTCCTTTCTCGTAATCTTCATCTTAAATAACTAAGGTAGGAAATGGTTTTGTGATAATGTAATTAAATGTTGTCATTCGTTTGTCGTGCGTGTGTACGCACTTTCTAAAGATTTAAGAGAATTTGTTCGAATTCCTGAGCTTTGCTGAAAACTGGAAAAGAACGTAATTTACCAAAAACTTGCTGTATATCGTATGATGACAATAAATGCAGCATACGTCTTGCAGGTCAGAGATGGCTTATATTCAGGAGCACGAGAGAGTTTTAGAATAAGGTGTGCTCTATTCCACTCTACCATAAGAAGAGTTGAGTAGAAGTAAGACACATACATAATCAGGGATTCATTTCCGTGTCTTTCAATAGGGGGACATTTCTGTCCCAATAGTAATACTTGGAATATTCGTTTTGTCTTCCACCGATATTTTACTCTATCCCTGATGCCCCCGTTGACATCCGTCCTCTTACGCCTGTTGCAATGACATTAACATGTAATTACAAAAACAAGTTTATCAAGCGTGGATAAAACAAAATTGATTAGCTAGATAAGTTTTCACTAAGTAATGACATGTACAACTGTTTGTTTCAAAACTAATTACATTATTAGTTAATGAGTCCTCGGTATAATTATGGTAACTAATTAAACACGGATGACTGATTCTGTTAGGTGTTTGTATCGGGTAGTAATATACCTGGAAACCCCTGGGCTTTAGTGTCTGTGTCAACAGGCTCAAAATGTTAATGATTGTGAAAATCAGGCGAGTAAAACGGGTCACTGAGCACAACCGCCCTCATATTAACATATTAAATAGTGCTAACGAAACAATTCGACTGACAGTTTTATACTGTGTGTAAACATGCTGTGTTAAATACTAACACAAATACTGGTATTTAGATAGATTGGTTTCGTTTCGTTTTTAATTATCTAAAGTCCTACAGTCAAAGGTCAATTTTGACGGCACTGATATGTTTGTGAAATAAGTGTTCATTGAGTGTTTGGTGTGGGGGCTGAAAAAATACTTGTGTAAGCCTCTTGGCGATACAGAGGAATTGACGTCAACAAATACATTATGTACTTGTAAATAAAAAATCCTAATTAGATACATTGTAATGAATTAAACTTCATGCTTATGGCTTAATTGTTAAGACCTATGGAATGTACTGTCAGAGGCGCTGAAAAAGCACCCCATTTACTAACATAAAAAATGACAAAGGGCACTGAAATAGTGGGATATTTAATCAGTGAGGAGTAACTATAATTTTCAAAGACGCATTGCGTTTTTCTAACGCATACTCACATTGATGCTAAGCACTGTTATTTTCAGTATTTGTCCAGAAGAAGTATTTGATAGCAATGAACAAGATACACAATACTGTATGTGTTTTCAATTTAAGTCAGTTGTTCAATTTTTATTGCAAAAATACGTGTTATAATTTCATGTTGAATAAATTATAGATTAAACTAGCGTTATATGCAGCATTTGAATAAGAAGGACAAACTTAATCGAATCTTATCAACGTTTTTTATAAATACAAAAAACGTATAACACAATCATGACTTTTTAATGAACTCGGTACTCGATAAGAACATACATTGACAAAGAAGACCGTGTCATAAAATGGTACTTTGATATATTTTAGATATAAATATTTCATTGTCAACTTATTTTTCGGTAATATTTTCAGTCAGATATTCTGTTTTAACGTTAATTAATCACCGAAAAGGTTAATTTCATAATGACGGTGACATTTTCCTCTGATGTCCAAGCGGGGAATCTGCCGTCTACAGATTCGCTGGTGACATGTGCTTTTTATTTGGTAATCAATCTATATTATTAATCTATCTATTTTAACTACTTTGAGTTAAAATGCTTTATGGGGCACTAATTTTCACGGCTGGACATATGAACAATTGAATATGTTTGTAATCATGTTAAACTCTTTCACACAATTAGAAAGTGTTAAAATTATTTATAATGAATTTTATTACAGTAGTCACGTCACAGCATAATTGACATGCAAGGTTTTCATTACGAGCTCAGTATTTCAATATTGTTTTTGATTACGAATCATACCACGCAGATATCAACGTTGTTTTTCCAAAAGAAATGGACAACAGACAGCAACAAAGCAGGAGGCGGACATACTGCGCATGCGTACTGTTGCTGCTGTCTGATGACTATGTTTATCCCAAGCTTCGGAAAACATGCTACAAATTATTTCATAACAGCGTGTTCATCCCTACGTGTGTGTCCACATGATCGACTAACGTGTAATGTCTGATAATTCTAGTCTTTCAATGAGCGAATTGTTCTCATGTTAACTAATACAAGAATATTGTCCAATGGTACACACAGGAATAGGTAACGTGATTTGTATTACCTTTTTAATTTCTGTCGGTAAAATAATTAGGTACCTTTCACTTTGATCAACATCTTTGCTTTCTTGAGACCATTAAAATCTCGGAACCCGCGCCAACACATATATTCAGGACCTGTCCCAAAACCATACAGACCGTTAAGGTTCTGAGAGAGGCAGTCGTTCAGCCAACCTGCACCTTTGAAAGAGACAACACAACTTCCGCCATCTCTTAAGTCATTATCGATGTCCATAGTAGAAAACTGCATCTCGTTGTGGTAGGACATACTATCACCTACAACAAAACGGAATACGATAAAAAAAAATCTGTCACATATAGCTGTGAAGTTTGATATGTTATATATATAGGTATTCTATCGTTCACACGGTGTAAATGAGTTCATACCTTTTCTAAGGACCTTTAAAGCCTTTTACGATTGGAGTTAAAGCAAAACGTTGAAAATCACTGTCAATGAGACGCTTAGAGTATAGTATATATATGTTTTATCCGAAAGTATGCCGTGTCGTGTTCAGCTATCAATATGATGCTGATTACGGGGTAGTGATTATACATAGAAGGAAATTAATTGGACCGAACTCTTCATCGTTTCTTGTAATCCAGTAATCATACTCAAACCCATCGACCATACCTGAGAGTAATTTTCGAAATTTACTGGGCAGTTTCAAGGAATACCTGAACACGACAGATGGATAAGGTCGAAGTTTAAGATTGCCTCATCATTACCAATAGTTTCTTACCTGCAGTTCCTACATAACCATCTACATGCAATCTATAATTGTCCGCTTCTGGTGATACATAGAAGGTATCAAAATAGGAACATTTCCTGACATCATTTACATCGTACAATTCCACCATCAGCACAGTGTTTCTTTCCCCAGTTAGTGTGTGAATGTTCTCCAATCCTGAAAAATTAGAAACAACAGTATCTGTAGCCTTAATATCAATCTATAGTGAAAAGAGATCTTAACCTTTTCAATCACGGGTCGATCGGCCAACTCTCGTATTCCAAGGGCATCTTTCTATGAACATTGAATATGTATATATATATATATATATATATATATATATATATATATATATATATATATATATATATATATATATATATATATATATATAATCTGATGAAGTATGAAGTATAATAAAAAAAGAAAAGTACTTGAAAACGTATCGGTGAAAAGCAAATATTTGTTATTATCAAATGTAATCAGACGGTCAACACTTTTTCATACCGGGACCACTGCATATTCACTTAAAAAGACGCCGAAACAACAGAGTGTTTTGATCTCCGGTTCTGATATTGATTTGACTTTGATAAACGTTTGTTTCACCTGAATATGGTTTAATTGTATTCAAGATGGCCGACAGGGAATTAGTATTGGCAATAAAAACCGACTTTTATTAAGATTTTTTTTCACAGTGAAAATATATGGCTAATGGAAAATCTTAGGAGAAAGTATTGATTAAATGTTATCGGTGAAACATTCTTGAAATTGAAATCATTTGACAAAGCGTTTTTCGTTCAGCTGTCAAAACTCTTCGTTTTTGCCAATTTTCAAAAACTCAATAGAACTAAATATATAGATGAGCTTGAACTTCAAACTTTCACTCGCTTTTTATTTTCACTCTTTTGACAATAGCGTAAAACCATTGAACAATAAACAGTGGCGACAGTTCGAAATATAAACGAGCTACGTTTCTATTTATGGTATTTACACCCCTTTTGCATCAATATTTCTTTTCGGGAGTCCCTGTGTAAATCATATTTTGCGTCTAGTTTCAATTAATTCTATTGACGTTAATGGTTTTGCCTTTGCTTCTACTGAATATTTGTTGAATTCGAAAAAAACTTTACTGTAACACAAGCTCACCCAGCCAGAATTCTCCTTCTGGACCGTTTCCAAATCCTTCCCTGTATTTTTCCCAATCTCTTTCAAAGTCAACAGAACCGTCAAAACGTTGGTGTATTACCTGTAACAAGCATTAAGCCAAATTATCGCAATTTTAACATGAATCAACGGTTAACTCGAAGGTTCTCATCAACATATATCGGATATTAGTTAGCTACATCAGTCCATCTTCAATCTATGGTGTCTGTGTACATGTCTCTGTATTTGATATTCTTGGAATTATTTGCAGTATACAATTTTTATGCGGTGTTTCGGCAGCTGACACACTCACAACACTTATTTTCGACAGAAACATTTGATGAAGAATATGTGAAAGTGTTACTGTCCACATTATGACCTCACAGAGAAATGTTATGCGACATGAAGCTTGACCTGTTTGATGCTCGTTAGTATACCTGGTGATTCCGTCTTTCCCAGTTCTCATTTGGGAACATGGCACTATTTACCGAATTTGATTGACTATTTTGCAGATATCTTCGATGAAACTGAAGACGCTTACACATTAGGAACCTTGTCTTATTGTCTGTGATCATTTCTGTGCATCGTCTGCCAATGCAATATATAATGGTTTTGCATAATCCAGTAGATCATGGACGGACTTAACAAAAAACCCATAGCATTAGGTTTTATACGCTTTACATTATACATCAAAATGCGATTTTGTATACCCTGTTTGGTGCTTAGCATATAATGGCAGAGGCAACACTAGTTGATAAAATAGCATCTGGTGGCGTGTTTTGAGATCGTGTCCAGGTGATGATATTTCATTGTGATAACACTATAAATGCGTTATTGTGTGACTACGTTATACGTACTTCAAACCACAAGGCATTGACTCCGAAAAATATGTAACCAATATGATATTAATCAGAAGTATTTACAATCTTGGCTCTACACAAATTACAAATAAAAAAAATTATATTATATAAAACTCTCATCATCCTTGTTTTTTCACTTTCACGCACTAATGAATACATGCAAATTTAAAGACACAAATATTCCCATTAAATACCATCACAGACTAACTTACCGTCCAGCTACCATCGTTTAGGTCCAAATTGCAAGGACAGAAGCGTTGCTCTAGGGTTAGAAAATAGCAATGTTGAAAAAAACCCATCAAAAATCATTCAAATACTAAAAACAGTATGAAAAAAGAACAAGATCACATTTTTTACATGATTTATATATAAAAAATGACTCTTTACTCAGCATCCTTCCATCGGAGTCGCTAAATGATAAATAGTACGTAACAAAGATCACTTAACTATTAACAAGCAAATACAAGAAATGTATGTTATAGCAATGAATTGCTGGCTGTAGGGTTTTGCATCGTCCCCTTGGCATTGTCCCCTTGGAACCATGCGACCATTGGGGTTTTGCATCGTCCCCTTGGCGTTGCCCTATTGGGACAATGCGACCATTAGGGTTTTGCATCGTCCCCTTGGCGTTGCCTCCCTGGGACATTGCGACCATTAGAGTTTTGCATCGTCCCCTTGGCGTTGCCCCCCTGGAACAAAGCGACCAGTAGGGTTTTGCATCTTCCCCTTGGCGTTGCCCCCTTGGAACAAAGCGACCATTAGGGTTTTGCGTCGTCCCCTTGGCGTTGTCCCCCTGGAACAAAGCGACCATTAGGGTTTTGTATCGTCCCCTTGGCGTTGTCCCCCTGGAACAAAGCGACTATTAGGCTTTTGTATCGTCCCCTTGGCGTTGTCCCCCTGGAACAAAGCGACTATTAGGCTTTTGTATCGTCCCCTTGGCGTTGTCCCCCTGGAACAAAGTGACCATTAGGATTTTGCATCGTCCCCTTGGCGTTGCCCTCCAGGGACAATGCGACCATTAGGGTTTTGTGACGCCTCCTATATACCAGCGTGACGATGCGAACATTAAAGGGTAAAGAGATGACTATATAATACCGTGAATTTATTGGGGAACAAATAACCAAAAATATAATAGATGACGATTTCCTTATGTAACATATAAACAAAAAAAAATTATAAATGACAATTTCCTTATGTCATATGTAAACAAAAAAATGATAAATGACAATTTCCAAATAAATGACAATTTCCTGCTGTAACTGGCAACTATAATAACGTGAATTTATCTAGGAACAAATAAACAAAAACATCAAAATGATAAATGACAATTTCCTGATGTAACAAATTAACAAAAACAAAGATAAATGACAATTTCCTGATGTAACAAATTAACAAAAAAAATAAACATAAAATGATAAATGACAATTTCCTGATGTAACAAATTAACAAAAACAAAGATAAATGACAATTTCCTGATGTAACAAATAAACATAAAATGATAAATGACAATTTCCTGATGTAACAAATTAACAAAAACAAAGATAAATGACAATTTCCTGATGTAACAAATAAACATAAAAAGATAAATGACAATTTCCTGATGTAACAAATAAACATAAAAAGATAAATGACAATTTCCTGATGTAACAAATAAACATAAAAGGATAAATGACAATTTCCTTATGTAACAAATAAACATAAAAAGACAAATGACAATTTCCTGATGTAACAAATAAACAAAAAAAAGATAAATGACAATTTCCTGATGTAACAAATAAACAAAAACAAAGATAAATGACAATTTCCTGATGTAACAAATAAACAAAAAAAAGATAAATGACAATTTCCTGATGTAACAAATAAACATAAAAGGATAAATGACAATTTCCTTATGTAACAAATAAACATAAAAGGATAAATGACAATTTCCTTATGTAACAAATAAACATAAAAGGATAAATGACAATTTCCTGATGTAACAAATAAACAAAAAAAGATGAATGTCAATTTCCTGATGTAACAAATAAAAAAAAAAGATAAATGACAATTTCCTGATGTAACAAATAAACATAAAAGGATAAATGACAATTTCCTGATGTAACAAATTAACAAAAACAAAGATAAATGACAATTTCCTGATGTAACTGATAACTGAAGAACAAAAAACGTCAACACGCAATTCGGCTTTTGTCAAGTAATTCTAGTTGAATTCTATAAGGATATATAGACGGCAAAGAAGGAGCCAGGACGCTCGCCTGAAAACTTCGATGAATGTAAAGAAACCACTATTGCAAAAATACTACCATATAACACTGATATTGTTACTCAAAGGCAGCAGATGGCTGATAGTCTATAACTTTGAAGTATCATTTACACTGACCTTTTAAAGAAATGTTACCATCAATATATCTTTCCAAAAAAAACAAAAAAAACAAAAAACAAAAAACAAAAAACAAAAAAAACAAAAACAAAAAAACCAAAAATAAAAAAAAACAAAAAACAAAAACAAAAAAACAAAAAATACAAAAAACAAACAAAAAAACCTAAACAAACAAATACAATTGATTATATTAGATCGCCTTAGTTACATGTATTTTTAAGTGATAATTGTGAAAATGAAAATTATTGTCAGCATTAACAATTAGTCAAACCACTTGCTTATCATCATTCATTAACTTAAATATGAAAGACAGCATTGTGCTTTATGTTTTCATTCTACTAACGTAATATTACAAAATTAGTCTAAAAATAACGTCAGTATTGGCTCAATGGGATCGATGACATCGCGTGATGATCGATGACGACACAATAATTGTCACATAATCAAATATAATAGATTCATATCATTGCAATCTAAAAACATTGAAATAAAAATACGAAGGTGTTTTCCGCCCAGAATTGCTAAAGTTACTTACGATAGTCGAGCTCTCGGTAAAACGGAAGTGGTGTTGGGCTTGGCGTGTTTGCCAGTGGTGTAGGTTCACAAAGAGGAAAGGACGTTGAGTATATACGACAAATCCCTGTATCGTTGCTATATGAGAAGGACAGACAATTGTATACTCCACAGTACACCCCGCACTTTGTCAGGCTGTCCAAAGTGTAGTTGTCTATCAAAGCATCACCGAACACAACATCACTAAATTCAGCGTGAATGGAAAAAGTAATGTTACGTATGACGATGGCGTCAACAGTTTGAACTGATATCACACATATTATCAGAACACATATCATGACTAATAAAAGATAAAAGAAACCAACTTTTTTTGAGAATAAATTACTCCGGATTACACTGACGTGAACCAATCACAGCTGAAATATACACCAGGTCACAGAAATTTTGTTGTCGTTTTCTTTGATTGTCTTTGCTCAAAAATCAGTTTGAGTCCACGCATAAGATTCTGAAATAAAAATAAATATTACATATTTACAGCTCAATAAGTACAAAAATATATTTATATCGTAAAGGCTAGTCATACCTTTGTTTCAACAACCATCAGCCTTGCAGTATAGTCTGAATATTGATTTAGTCTTAATGTCATCGACGAACATCGCAAACGGGTAGGACAGCAGATTTTCCGACATATACGTTCCTTTGCAATGAAAATGTGTTTCATATCTGATTAAACAGACAATATATAGTAGTAATCAATGAATAAAAAACATGATACAGTGCTATTCTTTATAGTATAAATAATGTTCATTTTATAGAATGTAAGGAGCTGTTGAAAGCACAGTTGTCCCATATCTTACATGTTGTAAATTACGTCAACTAAGATGTAGTTTTGTGTTGCATTGATTAGCACCCTGTCATCAACTATGGCAAAGTGAGAGCATATATCCGGTGCGTGTGTTCGTTGGAGATTGTCATATGTTTATGCAAGCCCCTTTTGAAGCGTTGATCTGAAGCCGACATGTACAGTCTGTGGTACGAGTTTTTCCGTCAGTTGACGAATTCTTACAAGAAAACCGTGATAACGGGAACAGGCACTTGAATATCGAATCAACTGCGACATGAACACTCCAAAGGTTGTGGGTGCAGGAATGTTGCTATAAAGAAATGGAAAATTCAGTGTAATGTGCAAGTGTGAGTTGATGTAATCCCAAAAACGAAAATCAGAACAGATACATGTGTTGACTCAGCAGGCACAATTCTATAATTTGTTTCAGTTTGTGCAGTGTGGCCATATTTGGATAAACATTTAACAATTTCCTCTTCGTGTTATGTTCGTTTTAATATAATGCATGTTCATGTCTACACTCGGTCAATCACTTCTCTAAATGACGATATCTGTTGAACGGACATAAATAAACCAAGTACATTTGTATTAGTAAACAAAAACGTGGCTTGGAAAATTTGTTGAAAACTGGATGCAATCATTGTTTCGATTAAAAAAAAAAAGTAAATCTGTCGTCGATCAGTTTTTTTCTTATTGGGTTAAATCGCAGTTGACTCATATTTCAATATTGTTTAAAAAGTATTGAAAGGAAGGAGTCCAAGACAGATCCCCGGCGTAACCCGCAGTGATATTTCAGTCCTTTCTAAAGGATTACATTTTGTTTTTATCTTTCGTAGTCCAATCTTATTATATATATTTAAGTAACAGTTCAACATCTACATTTCATCATGCAAATTTACTAAAACATGTACTGTGAAATCAGTAATTTCCACGGATGTTTCATTTTCAATGGGTTTGCAGATTTATTTTACCCTCGGATTCAGATGTCACGGAATGAAAACAGTGAAAGATTCACTTAAATTTTAGTTCTACTTCATTTTCTTTTATCCACGAAATCAAGTGCCGTAATAATAATTTTCTGGTAAAAAAACAAAAACGCGAGAAATTCAATCCTTTCAAAATATGTTCCAAATTATCTTTATATGTCGGTAACAATTCAATATCAATATAGTTTAAAGACTACTTCCTCAATAGTCTACCAACATAATGTAATCAGATAGGGTGCCATGCAGCGAATTGCCCTGCGATAGGGTGTTCCGCAGTGGAGTACCTTGCGAAAGAGTGTCCTGCAGTGAAGTGCCCTGCGATAGGTTGTCCTGCAGTGAAGTGAAGTGCCCTGCGATAAAGTGTCCTGCAGTGGAGTACCTTGCTATAGGTTATTCTACAGTGGAGTGGCCTCCGACAGAGTGTCCTGCAGTGAAGTGCCTTACGATAAGGTATCCTTCAGTGGAGTTGTCATCAGTTTCGCACATTCAAAAGGTGGCCTACTAGAATAGACAGATGTAGGCGTGGAGAGACCGTCCTTAAATAGCCGTGATTGCTCGCAGTCGTTTAACAATAATTAGAACCATACTATGTTAACATGTCATCTAACTTATATATTAAGCGGTCGTCACTCACCTCTTTTCTTTGGTTGCTCCCTCTGAAGTAAACTCACTTATAGACTACATGCTTTTGATCATCCAATGCACCATTAAAACTTCCCAGGACATTTTTGACTAGCATGGTTACTATGAAGGTTACAGACTGCGTATTATGACATGATCATTATCTCGTCAAAACAGTGCCAATATGGAAGTCAATCATTACTTAATTGGTAACATTGTCGCCTGGGACTGGGAATTTTCTTTATCATGGTGAGTTATAAAACTGGATAAGCCGATTACTTTTCATGAATGTCTGGTCCCTGCAGTGTTCATCACAATTTGTACCTGATCATTAAACATTCACGTACATTCTAATTAACAGATACTCGGTGGGCTGAAATAAATTTTCCGGAATCCGTTGAGACATGGAGTTGTTTTGGTTTCTGCATCATTGAAAATACATTATGAAGTTGTTTGCTGAAACAGTCAACATGCAATACCCAGTGGACGGTATCGTCTAATTGTTTTGCAAAAAACAGCCAGCCTACTGGAATGAATAAGTCTTAATACTATTTTCTTATCCTGAATTTGCTCTTTTTGCAAGCAAGAATGCTAAAAATACTGGCAACGAATTCATAACAGTGTATGCAATTCTTCTACTCATTATTACGTGTACCGTGGAATTTGCTCAGCGAAAACGGCTCCAGGCCACTGACGTTCGTCGGTGAAACGATACCTGGACACGGGCGGAGTTACGGAGACGGAAATCCTGTCAACCATCAACCTTTATCGGCGGAACAAATCTCTCGATGTCTTCATTTGCATATACTCGTTTTCTCCTATAGTACTTGTTTATAGATTACATAGAAATGTTTGTGTAAGAAGTCTGGGCAGTAATACTGTATTTTCCAGTGTGTAATTATATGAAGTAAAATAATCAAAAGACGGGGGTACGCATGTGAAAATAATATTCATAATTCAAATTTACTAGACTTGGAAGTACAATTAGTATATGAATTTGTTTTAATTAATTTCATTTTATTTTAAATTTGACTGGTCATTGTACGTCGATGTCTTTTAATATACGTTTTGATATACATTGACTTGTGCCCTGGAACGAAAAGAAAACTAAATAAAATTTACTTCTCTGATGACTAAGGCGGATGTACCAGCTTATTTCTATGAATGACCCTTTAATGGATATATCCGGAGACGTATTGTCATGTCGGTACAACACAGTAAAACGCGTGCCCTGGCACGGCCCTACCACACCATCACGGCCTAATATTACACCAATTATTTCCTTGTAGATGGTTGTGTTTATAAATAAGAATAAAGATAGATGAAAAGGGACATCGTGTCTCTTTAAAGATATAATAATCATTGACACCTCTTTGATGCAACTAGCGCTCTTGACCACTAATAAATATTACCAAAGCCGGCGTATGAAAATAAACATAAAGGCATGTCTACGTGTGTAGTGCTCTCTAGGAACAACAGGTACATAGGACTGTATAGGACGGTTTAGTTTGCTGAAATTGTGTTACTTTAACGAAGGGGGAAGTTTTTAAAACACTTATACACATTTCCCCATAATAGGCTCACCCCTCCTCTAAAATGGGATGTACCATTTGTTGAAAACCAAGGATGCCTTCAGTTCCAACATAAGAGAGCTTTTAAAAAATGCTTTCCTTCTACTTCTTGCCCCTCCGGCCCCAGTGGGCCGGAACTCATTGGCCATACAAAATTGATGCTTCAGGTCAAATTGGGAAAACATCCAGGTATGTCTACAGAAGAAGAAGGCTTTTATAAAATTTGCTCTATTTCCACTATTAGGAACCAAAAGTTTATTAAAAAACTGACTTCTCTTCATCAAAGGATGATTCAGGCCAAATATGGGCAAATCTACTAATTTCTACAGGAGTAGGATTTTAAAGATTTTGCTCTATTTCCCCTATTGAGCTCCGTCCTTCTTGCCCCGAGGGAGGGTGTGTGTGTATCAGACACACCGTTTATAATTAGTTTCCTTCGCCTAAGCATGCTTCAGATCAAATTTGAACAATATCCTGCAATTTTTAAAGAGCGAGATAGATTTCAAAGAATTTGATAGCTTTTCCCTATTCGATTTCGCCTCTCTGGCCCCCAAGTGGACGAGACCAAACATTTATACAAAACTGATTTCTCGTAACCAAAGGATACTTCAGATCAACTTTGATTAAAATCTACTCAGTCGTTCAAGACTAGTTGTTATTTCTATAAAAAAAAAAAGTTGACGACAGCAACGGACGAAGCATTATCCTTATAGTTCACGCGGCTTACGGGTCATGTGAGCTAAAAAATGTAAACCTGGCATAGGAATGAATTAGTGGACGGCTTCATCATCATATAAGATATGTGTAGCAGTAAACAAATAATTTTGAAAAAGACTGAATATAAAGATAAGAGAGAGTAAGAAATCGAATATTGATTTCCATTCATAATCTGAATTCCTAGACCTGTTAATTCAAATTAGATCTCTTAGATAATAATAACAATAATTCACTGCAATAAAGCCGGTTTTGTATAACTACAGAAATTAAACTCCACATTAATATGTTTTACATTAAAAACTGTACATTAAATGCGGTTATCGCAATGAAATCGTATGTATGGATTCCGTAATCCATGTCACCACCATTTGTAAATGGGTCGGCGAATAATGGAAACACTGTACACATATGAGATATCCTAGCCAGGCATGTGTAGTTTCTGTTTCCATTCAGACATACATACATACATGTAATATACATGGATAAACACACGGAATGGAGACCTAGTTTTCAATCATCTAATAATTTCTTCGACATTTGACAATAAAAATTAATTTCAAACTTTACGAATTCACACAATTAGTCTAGTCATGTGGTGT